GAAACAGACTGGCAGAATGGATTAAAAAGGAAAACGCAACAATATGCTGTATACAAGAAACACACCTAACTCAAAAAGAAACTCACAGACTGAAAGTAAAAGGATGGAAAACAGTTCTCCACGCCACAGGAACCCAGAAGAAAGCAGGGCTAGCAATCTTATTTGCAGACAAAGTAGATTTCAAACCAAAACTAATTAACAGGCATTTCCTCTTAAAAGAAGAAGAGCAGCTAAGGTGGGAAGTTTGCGAGGCCAAGGGGCGGGCGGGGGGGTGCGCTTCCGGGGCTACAGCAACGGGGAACACACGTCCTGGGTGTGACGCGTCCAGCAGCCAGCTTCAGCATGGAGAGAAGATGCAGTTGAATTGCCGCGCACTCCCACAAACTAGAGGAAAGGGGGGAACGCGCCGCGGGGTTCTCTGGGAAGCGGCGCCCGGGAGCGAGACGCGTCCTGCGGAGGATTCTGGGAATTGTAGTTCAACCTCGAGATCCGGCCCCTCCTGCTCTTAGTTGCCATTGTCACCCAGCTATCCTGGCTGCCTCCGGGTCGGTCCCGAGTTGGAGGAGGGCTGACCGTGGAGCCTTCTGAGTCTAAGTGCCCCGAAGGAGGGCGGCAGTGGGGCTCGGCGAAGGGCGCGCGTTCCGGGCCTCTCTATGGACCCGAGCGGTCGGCCCCGGCCCTGGGCGGAGGAGGGAGTCGCGATGGATCCTGGAGACAGAGGTGAGGATCCAGCAGTGAGGCGGCCGCGGTAACGCGGGAGAGAGGGCAGGGAGAGAGGCTGCCCTCAGGCTGGGCAGGCAGGCGCAGGGAGGACCGGCATCGCGTTCTCCCCGGGCAAGAGCCGCTTCCTGCTATTGGTCTCGCGCGCACTGTCCCCATTGCCCTGCTGGTCTAGGGTGACGAATGCCTCCATGTCCTCCAAATCAACAGACCTGACAGTTTGGCTTTTGATAATGACTTCCTTTTTGTCCTCCTAAGTAAGGCTGTACAACTGAAACTATTTGACACATTTGGCAGATGGCAAAAGCGAAGGCACGGGATTTGTTTACAATCCTGTTTTTTATGCTGTTGTGGTAAGGTTTTCTGGGGATGGGGGGTCCGCCAGTCCGTTGCTTTTCTAAGACAGCTAGTATTGTATGTGAAAAGCCAGTATTCCCATTTAGTCTCTTTCATCCTTTCATCCTGGAATACAACGGAAACGAATCATTGTTTGAGGTTCTGATCGACACACAGAGACTTTGAGTATTGTTTTGGCTACTCCGCAGATAAGTGATAGAAGTATGCATTTAGTTTGTGTGTCCGGATTCGAAGGAGTTTAAGGGCAGAGGAGAGCAAAAGGAATTTGAGGCAGCAAGAGTCATGAATGTTTTCTGTCAAGGATTTTCTGGGATTGTCCTTTGATCCCCTATATTGACTCTTAGATAAAGTTTCTGGTTCACTGCAAGACCAGAGTAATTGTGATGGCTCCTGTCTCCACTTGTAGGATTGCTTGCTGAGGACTCAGACCTTCCCGGTGCTGGAGATGCAAAAGAAAATGGCATGACTGATGTGCTGCTGACCCCTGGGTCCCAGGTAAGTTTAGATTTCTTCTTGTTCTTTTTTTTTTTTCTTCAGTTCTTAGCATGAGTATGGTTTTTTGCATTGCTAAGAAACTGTCCCACCTTGATTCTAAGGCCATTGGATTCATCCTGGTAAATGATGAGTGATGAAATTCACAGAAAATGCTCCTCAATTGAGCAGAACTTTCCTTCTCTGCAGTACTTCTTCCCCATCCACTGAGTGCTTGCTGCACACTTACTGATCACTCGGTACTGTCTTTGGCCTTGTGGGGAGATGCAGAGTAATAATAGCCACTTGCCCCATCTCAGAAGAGTTTCCTGAGGCAGTGACATATAGATAAGTAAAACAGTTAAACTGCATAAAGAAATATATATATATTTTAAATACACCAAAGGCAAATAGGCCCCTTGAAGGTTTTTTAAAGGCTCAGCAAGATGAAACATGTAGTGATTGATTGAAGACAGAAGATTAGTAAAGATGCCTCAGTAGGATCTGGCTGGAACACTGGGAGAGGAGCAGTCCCTTTGGGACAGAGGCTGGAATTACTCATGTGTGTTAGGTCAGACCTCAGAGCATACAGGTGCTAGTGATCCATGTAAAACCCTGCGAGAAATTGCCAGTTTTGATTTTGATCTGAGACCTGGCCTCTGCTCTGTGAAGCTGACTGTCTAATGGAACAGACAGTTGTTAATCACAGAGACCCTTCCTCCCCTCCATTTTTCCTGAAAAGGTAAAGAAGGAAGAGGGTGCTATAGCTGGAGTCAAGGAATTCTTCCCCAAGGAGGTGAACCTGAGCTGAGATCTGAGGTATACGGATGATTCAAATAGCTGAAAGGTGGGGACAGTGGGGAGAACATTCAGGAACAGGAAGCAGCAAGTAAAAAGCAGCACAAGGGAATGTGGCACACCTTTCAAACAACTGAAAAAGACTTCCGGCCTGAGCACAGGGAAACGGAGGAGGAGTAGTATACAAGGAAGTAGAGAGCAGATGAGGAGTCAGGCCCATCAGGGCCATTGTGAAAATGACAAAGCACTTTGAGTACTTGCATAATAATTAGGATTTGAATAAATCCATATTCTGTGGCAAACATAGGAAAAAAATCTCAATTTTTAATACTGTATATGTATTGGGCTGATTTTATTCTGAAAGGAAAGCTAGGGAGAAAAATACTTCTTATTTCATGAACTCTTTGTATTTTAACAACCATACTATATTTAATACTTAATTTATAATTTTACCCTTTCCAGTGTATAAGCAGTAAGAAGTTCTACAGTTGTATAATCTTAATTTTTTGATACATAAACGAGGAACTCAGAACCTTCAGGTTTGACTTTGAAGGTCATTTCCATCCTACCTGCAGGTAAAATGCAGTTCCAATGCATGGAGAGTAAGAGTGTGGACTACACATATGCCAGAGAATCAGTGTTGGAAGGGCTGAAAAAGTCATTTTGTCTCATCTTCCATCCTTCCTGTCCACCTTCTCCTATGCTGTCAGTTTTACTCTTTCTCAGAGGCCTCTAGAAGGCCCTTCAGTGAGCACCAATGCTTTGTGTTTTTCAGAAACCCTTGATGATCAGGGATATGGCTTCGGCTCTCGCCCAGTGGGGGCAGCTGGACTCTCCTCAGGGAGATGTGCCCAAGAAGCCTAGGAATCTGGTCTTGCTGGGTAAGGATGGCTCCACTGTCCCCTGAGAATTTACCTGGTGTGGTATCTTTGCTTCCTTAGTTCCTGTGTGCTCTGAAATACTTAGATTCAAAGATTCTTAATTTCTGTAAGACCTGAGACAGGCAATTTCTGCTTTTTGTTTCAGGATATTTTCTTAGCACTCCTTGAGTTAGAAAGGCAGGTAGAATAACAATAGGCACCTTTATCATAGCGTTCTTCTCTATTCCTTGACTAAAGATGTCAAAGCAAGTTCTTTTTTTAAAGTAAATTTTATTTTATTTTATCCCATTCTTTCCCTCAAGCCCCCTCCCCTCCCTGTGTACAAAAGCTTTGTTTCCCATTTTTTCCTCTATTTTCACTTTTTTTCTTGTCCCTTCCTTCCTTTCTCTCTCCCCCTCCTCTCTTATTCCCCTTTCCATTTGAACACTTTCTTCCCATTTCCCAGCATCCATTATACATTTCAGTCCTTATTTCCACTTTTGGTTTCTCATACCAGACAGAGAAACAATGCAGTATTTAAACATGTGTGTCCGATTTATTTCACTTAGAAGTATGGTCTCAAGGTCCAAGGGATATCAAAACAAGTTCTGGTGAAAACTATTCTTAAAAGAATGGTTGTCAATAGAGAGAGGTAAAAACAAGTGATTTGGTTGTTCGGAACTCAAATAAACCCGTATCAACCTTCCTACCCTCTTTTGAGCACATTTGGGGAAGAAATCCAGAACTGACTTCTGTCTCTTATACTCTTTTCTTAAGACCAAGGAGCTAGCACTAAGTTCTTTACCACACTCCTGTTGTTTTCCTCATAACAGGACTTCCAATTTCCAAGCCTGATGTAATCTCTCATTTGGAGTGTGAGGAGGAGCTAGCAAGAAGAGTCTCAAAAGCAACCAGTCCAGGTGAGTGAGTGTTGGAAACAGTGAAAATAAAATCTAAATGGTTGTAGCTGTGCTTGTGGAGGAGCCTTTCCAGGTTTCACAGACCCATGGAAACAAGGAAACAGTGTGCAGTCTTTCCTGGGCTTCACTCTAGCTCTGTGTTTGATGATTTCTTTATAAAGTTAGAATATTATTTTTTAGTGAGTAAATAACTTTACACCCTTTCAAACCATTTCTTTTTCCCAAATAAGATGAAATGAAACCAATATTTTAATAGTTGTTAACAACTTGCTTGAATATAAGGCTCTAAACCAGGTCTTTTTGCTTATGTTCTTTAATCTCTGCAGGATAAATGCTTTTTTTTTTTTTTAAACCGGGGATTGAACTTGGGACCTTGTGCTTGCAAGGCAGACGGCGGAACCACTGAGCTAAATCCCTGGTTCTTAAATGCTGTTTTTTGAGTCTCAGACCAATGATTATCAATTGATCCCTGGGTTTTCCCTCTCCTGGCACAGACAGCATAGCGGAGTTCAGACTTTGGAATCAGTCTTCCTAGGTTGAAAGCCTGTCTTAGCTACTCACTAGCTCTGTAATCTTTAACAAGTTGACTTATCCTCCCTTTATCTCAGATTATCCAGCTATAAAATGGGAATAATAATGACTCTTAACTCAGAGTTGTGCTCAGGATCAAATGAGATAATTCAAGAGAATTGTTTAGAACAGTTCCTGGTTATATGCTAAACAAATAAATGTTATTAATTAAATATTGGTAACTGTTTTTGGAATGATGTCATGGATTTGACCCTATTACTTCTGTCATTGGATTACTGCACTAGACTCCCAGAAAATTATACTTTCTTCTGTCAGATCCTTATATAATAGGGCAGCATAGTGTTGCTAAATTCCCGAGTTAATGGCTTCCTCTGCCAGTGCTGTTTGTCCTCTACCTAATTTCAAGGCCTTTGTCAGGCTACCTGTCTAAACTTTTTGCCTTCTCTATTCTTCAGCTTGAACCTTAGCACCAGATAGTCAAGCTTCTTAGTATCCTGTACTCCCTATGTGTTCTCCACAAACATTTGGAGATTTAATTTTTCACTCCTCTTAGCTGGAGGTCAGTTTACCTTTAATCTTTTCTACTTATTTATCCTTAAATCCTAGGCACTTCCCTGAATATGATGCAGTTTATAACATTGTATTGTATTGATTCATTTCACTTAAAGACACACTCAGATATGAAAGACATCTGTATTAATGTTTTCTGTTGCTATAACCAAATATCTGAGACTCAGTACTTTATTTCAAAAGTTTTATTTAGCACACAGTTCTGGACATTTAAGAACATAATGTTAAGTGAAATAAGACATACAAGATCAAATATCATATGATTTCTCTTATATGAGAAAAAATATATACTCACACATAAAAAGCAAAATAGAAGAGAGATAGATAGGATGTAGGGAGAAGTTCAAATACTTCCCCAAATTACATATTCCCTAAGTTTTGTGTTATCTGTTTGTTTCTTTTTTGTAAGAATCTTTCTGGTTTATGGCTTGTACCCTGAGTAACTACTTTGAAGATAACAGTACACAGTGTATTAACTATTGTTAGTCATTTACTATTTTGTGATGAAATTTTTTTCATAAAATAAAAAAGTAAAAAAAATGAAGCATGACTCCTGCATCTGCTCAACCCTGGTGAGTTCCTCCTTGGCTCATCACAGTGTAGCAGAGAAATAGAGTAGAAACTCATCGTATAGAGAAAGCTCTAGCTCATTGGGTGGCTGTACTTTGTAACAACCCTTTCTCACATGAACTCACTTAGTCCTTCAGACCAGCATGGATTACTTGCAAGGGTGGCGCCTCTGTGGCTTCTATTACCTTTTGATAGGCTCTACCCCTTATAGATTGCACTGTCTCAATACTGCCACATTAGGTCACCAGGTGTGTAGCACATAGGCCTGTGTGGGACACACTCAAACTGTATCCAAACTGGAACACCCTCTGAGCCTGAAAGTATGCAGATGGTTTTAGCATGAAAATTTTCTCCCTAAACTCTTCCCAGAAAGGATCTTGAGATAGATAGGTATCATAACAGTTTGGGAACCAGTCTGAGGACATGAAGCATCCTCTCTCTCTCTTTCTCTCTCTCTCTCTCTCTCTCTCTCTCTCTCATCTTTAACTTGGTTCTATTCTACTCTCTCCAGTTTGGTGGGTGTGAGGTGATGGTAAGCAATTAGTGATCAATTGCTTCCTAATTACTAAGCTCTATGATAATTTGAATCTGTAGTCTAGACCACATTGAAAGCTAGCCACTAGAATTTATGTCTCATCTTGATACTGGGAACAGATTTTTGCATAAGATACTTTTTTTTCTTTTTGGTGGTATTGGGGGCCTTCATCCCAAGCTATATTCTTGGTCCTTTTAATTGATTGATTGATTGATTGATTGAGACAGGGTCTCACTAAGTTGCTAAGTTGCTAAGTTGCCCACATTGGGCTTGCGCTTGAAATCCTCCTGCCTCAGCCTTCCAGAGTGTTAGAATTACAGGTGTGCGCCACCATGCCTGGCTAGAGGGGTGGTTTTGAAAAACTGGTCTCTTATTAATTAGGACATAATGGAGTGGGAAGAGATTAGTGGCAAGGAGGTGGATAAACATGATCTTTCATGAAACCTGCTGTGAGAGGCTCTGGTGAGCTTGGTACAGTGGGTAATTCCCAGACTGTCTTTTTCCGATCCCAGCCCTGTCTTTTCCAGACCCTGTGTTTTCTCAGCCATTTCCCTAAACCACCCCTGCTGAGTCTTGCTCTGTTATGACTTTCCATTTCCTACTCTGCTGTCTAGAAGAATGTTGAGTCCCTGCTTACCCTCTCTCTTTATGCAGCTGTACTTCTTTGCCCAGTCACATTTCTTTTCCTGTGTCCTCTTAAGATTAGAGGGCTAGGGTTGGGGATTTAGCTCAGTGGTTCTACCACCTGCCTCGTAAGCGCAAGGTGCCGAGTTTGATCCCCAGTACCCAAAACAAACAAACAAAGAAAAAACAAGATTGGAGGGCTAGTTTTAAGGGTTTTTAAATTTTTGTGTTTCCTGTAAGCATTTTTTTCTGTAGTTTTTTTTTTTTTTTTTAACCACACCAGTTGTTTTTCTCTCAATGTAGGAAATGATACCTGTGTATTTTTGCCTCTTTCAGACTGGGAGACAATCCCAGAAAGCAGAGAGCTAACTCCAGAGAAGGACTTTTCTGAAGAACCAGCCCCTGGGGTGTTAATAGAAAGATTTCCAAAGGAAGGTTCCAGTGAATGTAAGGACTCTTTAGAGAATCAGCAAGAAAACCATGAAAAACATCTAATAAAAGAGGTTGTCACTCACAAGAAACTTTCTGGGGAGAGAAGTTACCAATGTGATGAATTTAGAAGTTTTAATCGGCGGTCATTACTTGTTCAACAACAGAGAGAGAGACTTCATAATTTTGATTCATTTAAAAAGAACTTAAAGCAAAATTCAGATATAATCAGGCATGAGAGAATTTATGCAGGAAAGAAACCTTGGAAGTGCAATGAGTGTGAGAAGGCCTTCAATTACTACTCAGCTTTTGTCTTGCACCAGAGAGTTCACACAGGAGAAAAACCCTATGAATGTAATGAATGTGGGAAAGCCTTCAGCCAGAGCATACACCTTACTCTTCACCAGAGAATTCACACTGGAGAGAAGCCCTATGAATGTCATGAGTGTGGGAAAGCCTTCAGTCACCGCTCAGCCCTTATTCGGCATTATATAATTCATACTGGAGAGAAGCCCTATGAGTGCAGTGAATGTGGGAAGGCCTTCAATCAGAGCTCATACCTCACACAGCATCAGCGGATTCATACTGGAGAGAAACCTTATGAGTGTAATGAATGTGGGAAAGCCTTCAGCCAGAGCACATTCCTTACCCAGCATCAGGTCATTCACACTGGAGAGAAACCTTACAAGTGTAATGAATGTGGCAAAACCTTTAGTGACCGCTCAGGCCTTATTCAGCACCAGAGAACTCATACTGGGGAGAGGCCTTATGAATGTAATGAATGTGGGAAAGCCTTTGGCTACTGTTCAGCTCTGACTCAGCACCAGAGAACTCACACTGGGGAAAAACCCTATAAATGCAGTGATTGTTCCAAGGCTTTCAGTGACCGCTCAGCCCTTATCCGTCATCAGAGAACACACACTGGCGAAAAACCTTACAAGTGTAAGGACTGTGGGAAAGCTTTTAGCCAGAGTTCATCTCTTACAAAACATCAGAAAACTCACACTGGTGAGAAACCCTATACATGTAAGGAATGTGGAAAAGCCTTCAGCCAGAGTTCGTCCCTTTCTCAACATCAGAAAACTCATGCTGGAGGGAAAACCAGGGAATATGGCCAAGCCTTTAGTGAGCATTCAGCCTTTGGCCAACATAAGAGAATTCATACTGGATAAATGGCATATTCAGAATATCATCACAAAGCATTTACCATACATGTTGTGAGGGCTACAAAGAAATTTAAAACAGTTATTGAGAAGTCATTGTAGATGTAGGGTATAGCTTACTTAGACTGAATGAAAGGTTTTACACTTTTTAAAATGTCCTAATGGAGGACACTGTAAATTTCCCTGGGGAAAGAGGAAGTTTATTTCTAATACCATAATGTGTATGTAAGTGACCAAATCCTTAAGAGAGAAATAGGGTGTGTCATGGTGGAAAGAGGACTTGTTGGCTGGACGTGATAGTCTTATGATGCTGAGGGCCCAAAGTTATAAAGAGGCAAGTGATCCTTATAGGGAAATTGCAGATACAGAAATAAGGGATTGAAAATTCCTAATGAGTTTGTCCAGGAACAGTGGAGAAATAGAAGTTGTCCTTCACCCTTAAGTGTATGACACAAAAGAGATAAATGGAAAGGATAGACTAAGAATTGGGGGAAAGAACCCAAGAAGTGTTGCTTGAGATAACTACTCAACTGAATATTCACAACTAGGAAGAAATTAGATTTGTTAGTTGGTCAGTTGCAGTTCCTGTGAGGGCAGCTTTACCAGGAATCTAACAGCCTAGAAAGAGAAACTAGAGATGTTTCATGTGTTCAGTTTATTTTAAGCTATCTGAATTACCTGAGAATATTTATAAAGATTTACCTCAGTTCTATGTAGATTATACCTTAGATTTTTTTATACCATAGTAAAATTTAATTGTAGCCTTGCACTGATGTTATATATTAAGACTGAGAAACTTGAAAAGATTTTGAAATTTTGTCCTATCACCATTTTACTTATGGAGAGAGGCAGATAACATTTTTTGTGTACATATACTTTTGATTGAAATTTTCAAGGTTATTACTGGAAATATAATTTTGAGTGTAGTGTTTTTATTTTTTTGAAGTTCCTCTGTGATATGTGTTGGTGTTCTTTTGTTTGTTTTGGGGGTTTTCATTTTTTTTTTTTTAGTATATTTCTTGTTTGGAGTTTGTTGAGCTTCAATCTGTACATTTATGTGTTTTGCCAAATTTGTATTTTTAGACCATAATTTCTTCAAAATACATTTTCAGCCCACTTCCCCACCCCCTTTTTCCTTTAGTCTCTGGTGACAGAATTGTTTGACCTTTGATTGTGATCTCATAAGTTTCAGAGTCTTCATTCATTTTTTTAAATGTATTTTTGTCTTCATTTGCTCGATCTGCCACAACAAAATCCCATAGACTAAGTGTCTCTAGAAATGTATAATGTTCTAGAGGTTGGGGAGTCTGATATCAGGGTACCCTCTGACTCAATTTTTACTTTGCGTTCTTTTCCTAACTTACCATGGCTACCTTCTTGCTTTGTCTTCACATAGATTTTCCTTAATGCATATTCAGAGAAAAAGAGAGTTATTTCCCCCTTCTTGTATGGCCACCAATCCTATTAGATTTAGACCTTACCTTTATGGCCTCATGTACCTTAGTTACCTCCCAAAGGCCCTTTCTCCAAATACAGTTATATTGGGGATTAGACCTTCAACATACAATTTTTTTTTTTTTTGTACTGGGGATTGAACTCAGGACCTTGTGCTTGTGAGGCAAGCAGTGGAACCACTGAGCTAAATCCCTGGCCCTCAACATATGAATTTTAGGGAGTCACAGTTCAGTACATAGCATTTTATTTCTGCCCAGATTTATGTCCGTTAATGAAAAATACATTTATCCATTCTATCCTAACAACCACTAGAGTCCTAACTCACTCCAGCATTGACTGTAAAGTCTAGAGTCTAAAGTTTCATCTAAATGTCACCCAAATCAGATAAGTGTGAAAGAAAGTAAGATTCATCCTGAGGCATAATTCCTCTCCAGCTGAGAACCTGTGAAACCAATCTATGCACTTCCAAAATCATTGGTTGGCCTGACATAGATTAGACATGCCCATACCAAAAGGGAGAAATAGGAGAGCATGGGTGATGGTCCCAAACAAGGCCAAAACCTAGCAAGGCAAATTCCATTAGATCTTAGATTTTTTAAATTATTTTTCTTTTCTTGTTACCAGGGATTGAACTCACGACCTTGTGTTTGCCAGGCAGGCGAGGTGCCATTGAGCTATATCCCTGGCCCAGATCTTAAGATTTTAAAATAATTCCGTTTGATTTGGTACATTGTCTGTGGCCCTACTCGGTAAGGCAGTCCTGCCTCTGACTTTGTGGCTCTGCCAGGTGGCTCCATCCCCTGGGCTTTGCAAGGTGGTCTGGTCTCTATGGATCCAGTTGAGGTTTTCCAGCCTATTAAAATAAAGATGAGCTGGCTGGGTAAGCCTTTGAGCCATACCCATGATCTCTTGATCAAATGATTATTCAGTCACATCCTTAGCTCTTTCTTCCTAGCTTTCTCTTTTTTTGCCATATGAATAGAATTTGCCATATCTTTTAAATTCTGCTTCCTTGTTGCCTAACATTCTATTCATCATTCATCCTACTGTTACATCTCTCTCTAAGCAAAAATGACCCAAGCTACACCTTCAGTACTCTAATTAGAAATTTTCTCTGTTAAATACCTAATTTCATCCAAGTTTCACCTTTTACAGAATACTAGAATACAGGTCAGACAGGTTCCTTGGAACTTGATAAGATTCATCTTTCCTCTACATGTCAATAACATGTTCTTCACTACCATCTAAGTTGCACCAGAAAGTCTTTAAAGATTTTATGTCTAGCATACACCTCACAACTCTCTAGCCTCTGCCTAGGACCCAATTCCAAAGCTGTCTCCACATGTTTAGGTATTAGGTTACAGCAGCACCCCACTTTTCAGGATCAAAATCTTAGTCTGCTCAGGTTGTCATAACACAGTACCATACAAAAGGTGGCTCAAACAACAGAAATTTATTTCTCACAGGCTACAGATTTATTACAAATGTATTTCTCAAGGCTACAGATCCAAAGTCAAGTCCATCAGGGTGCAGTTCCTGGTGCAGGCTCTCTTCCTTACTTGTAGATGTTTGCCTTTTACTGTGTCTTCATGTGGCCTTAGTTATGTGTGTGGAGAGAGCTGTCTTCCTCTTATAAAACCATTGGTCCTGTTGGATTAGGACCCCCACATTTACAACCACTTTTAACCTTAATTACCTCCTAATAGCCCATCTCCAAATATAGTCACATTGGAGGATGGAGCTGCAACATAATGAATTTGGGCGGGGTGAGGAGGAGACAGTTCATTCCATAATACTATTTACCTGTTCACTTTGGATACTTTCTATTGTTTTCAAGTTCACAAAAGATTCATCCTGTGCTTTTGTACTGTTGAGTCAGTCACTGAGTTTTATTTCAGTTTTTGTTTTTCAGTTCCATTTGTTTTTTTGTTTGTTTTTTTTTTTTGGTACTGGGGATCAAACTCAGGTCCTTATGCTTGCTAGGCAAGCGGCAGAACCACTGAGCTAAATCCCTGGCCCTCCATTTGATTTTTTTTGAGACTTTCCATTTTTTAAAAAAAATTTATGCCCTAAAATCCTTACAAGGCAATTCTAACATCTGTGTCATCTCTGTGCTATCATCTGTGGGTTATCTTCACTTGATTTGAGATTTTCTTGGTTCTTGGTGTGATTAGTTATTTTATATTGAAATCTAGTCATTTGGAGACTCAGTGTCCTACATAGGTCTTCTATTGTGGGAGGCCTCCTCTATACTACTAGTGGAAAAGGGGAAGTATTGCCTCATTACTTAAGTTGATATTAAAAGTCCAGTTCCATCATGGGCCTCTGTTGACACTAGGATAGGGGTTCTCAGTACTGCTGGGCAGGGGTGGGATTGGTAGCTCCCCACTAGGCTTCTGCTGATGCCACCCTGGCTGGGAGAGTCTTGAATGCCTCATGACTACTCCTCACCATAGAGGGGATTGGGATGACCACATTACTGTGGGTATTGGTATAAATCCTGACTGTCCATGGGGCCCCACTGACACTAGTAATGATAGGGATAGACATCTCTCTGGGCAGAGTTGGAAGCCCAGTCACCTCATGTGCTCTCCATTGACACTGCCAGGTGAGGAAGGGGCAGACATGGGGTCTGATGACCTGTCGGTCCCCATGGCCTCCCAGGGTGAGTGGAGGGTTCAGCCCATTCCAGCCTGATGAGGGAGGAATGGAGGCTCCCCACTCAGTCTTTTTGATGGGAATAGGGCTACAGATCTTTTTCCATAGAGTAGGCTTTTCTCATGCTTTTTAAAAATCAATGTTGGGATTCCTGGATTTCCAGCTGCTTCAGAAAGCAGCCTGGGGCAGGAAGGCAAAAACAAGTCCCAAGAAACCACTGGTGTGCCTAAGGTTTCTAGGTGCCTAGTCAGTACATCCTCTTCACCTTTCAGAACCCCTGTATGTTTGTTTTATATATAATTTCCAGGACTTTTAGCTGTACCTAGAGGATTAGGAGAAAGTCTTACTGCATCTTTCCCTTGCCATCCTTGGATTTGACACTGAAATGGCTGGTCAAGTTGTGTTGAGCACAGCCCAAAAGTCTGAGGCATACAGAGGTTACTTAAGCTACCCAGAAATGAGTACAGAGGGGTCTACTCACTGGTTCCCCAAAGACAAGCTCCCTCACTTCATCTAGCTTAGAAGAAGCCATACTGTTTTAAGTGGTGAAAAAAACATTGTTTAATTGTGGATTATAGACTTCAAAAGGAAAGATAGATATAACTAAGAATGTAAACCATAGCATTATTTTTTATTTGTATCTTTGTTCCAAGAACATTGAAAACCCCTGGAAATTTTAATTTACAACTTTGGAAATTTTTACAATTATTAATTATATGTGTCTCTTTTGATTTGATATGTAAGATGATATCAGGCAGCCAACCAAAAAAGGAAAATAATTGCGATTTAGGACAAGTCACTTCAGCCTTTCAAATCCATCCTGATATAGGTTTCAAAAATGTGATACCTACTTGAGATAGTGATTAGAATTAGGTAGAAAATGGATACAAATGTGATTTGTAAGCTATCAAGTGCTATACAACTGTTTAGTCGTTTATATGACTGATATCCACCATGTGTGCTTTATGATGGTGTAGCTCAATAAAAGTGACTGTGAGTATGATGGAATGAGTCTTTTTTATGTTTTTAGTAAGTTTCTTTAAAGAGTAGTAAAGTGTGTATCTTTTATAGTAACCATGGTTTTCTCTTTTTTTTGGGTTTTTTGGTACTGGGGATTGAACTTGGGACCTTGTGCTTGCGAGGCAGGCGGCAGAACCACTGAGCTAAATCCCTGGCCCAAACATGGTTTTTTTTAATGTAGTGAGTTACATGACATTTTTTTTGGTACCAGGGATCGAACACTGACATATTTTTTAATATGAAAGAATCCATGCGTTCCTGGGATTTACCCAATGTATTGATTTTTTCACATGTCTAGAAGAGTTTGAATTCCATGAATGTTCAGTTGCATTCACGTCTTAAACTGGGATTGTGTTTTGATTGGTTTTAGAGGCTAATCAGATATTTCTATTTTTTTTCTTGAAAGTTTTTGTTAAGTTTTTCTAAAAAATTGTGTTTTTGTTTTTTGAGATAAGGTCTTGCTATGTAGTCCAGTCTGGCCTTGAACTCCTGACAATCATCTTGCCTCAGCTTCCTGAGTGCTGCTATTAAAGGCATGTGCCACCACACCCAGCTAAAATTTTATAATTTTGTCATAAAGGTGTTAATATGTTTTTATTTTCCTTTTTATCTATAATTGTGTCCCTTTTGTCTTTCCTGATATTACTTCTTTCTTTTTTTCTTTTTTTTTTT